GCTGCAGTGGTCAGAGACAGAGCAAAAATCCTTTTGTGAGCTTTAGAAACTCCTAATAGTGGCAAGTTGTTACATAGACAATATTTTGAGAACCAAAAATACCAAAGCAAAGTTTCCAGACTATCATTTCTTCACAGACATTAAGAGGTTTGAGAGGGTCAAGTTTGTCCTTGGCCTGAATATTTCAGTGAACCTACAGAATTTAGAACCACCCTGACTTGTATCAACCACAAGACTTCTTCAGTCTTGTATATCTCTAAAGAATGCTGAGTTCATGTACTGCATCCCTCTCCCCTTTTATTACTTTGATAAGTCTTTATTCTTTTCCCTTTAGTAAAACATTTCTTTGGTCTCTAACTGAACTTCTGTCTCACGATTTGCACATCTCTTCTGCACCCAAATAAAACTGCCTTTGCTCTTTTTTTTTTTTTAACCTCACTTCTTACTTCTTGGCCTATGAGATTCAGAGCTTCTGTAATTTAATATTGTAACATAAACTCAGGCCAGTGATTTAGCTCAGTGGTCTGCCACCTGCCTCGCAAGTGCACGGACCCAAGTTCGATCCCTGTACCATTAATTAATTAATTAATTAAAATGAATATTGTAACAAACTTGAGTGGCTGAATAGCTTTGGAATGCCAAACTTCGACAACTTTTTAGAGCCTGAAATAGTCTAAAAAATAAATTATATTTATATAATAAAAATTTTTTCAAATATAATTCTGAAAGCATACACCAAAAGCTAAAAAGTATTTATTACTATCATTACCAATACAAACTATAGGAAATATTTCCTACTTTTAATTTACAGTGGTTTTTGTAGCCCTGAGTCACATGTTTATTATATTTTTTTAATTCCACTGAATCCCTTAAAGCTACAGAATATGTAGCTAGCAAGATACCTAGGTGTAAAATAATTGGCCAAATGTCAATGGAGTCACTGTTGAAAAATGCTACTCTAAGGTTTATGTAACATGGCTTTATCACAGTATATATATATGTTCAGATAATGTATTTGTGTAGTACAGGAACCTTGAAACAATATACATTTGTTTCCCATCTCCCCCTCATCTTTTTGATGCTGTTTTTAGTGTTTCTTTATGTGAGGTCTTTTTGCGTCATGCTCAGAAAATTGTTTTTCTCAATACCAAGAAAGTCAACAAAAGTAATGGAAAGTATTTTAATTTTTCTGTGAGAACCCTTAGCAGTCACCATAGACATCTCTACTAGTGTTAAATTGTAAGCAAGGATGCTGAAATGTGGAGTCAAAAATGAAGATTAGGGCCGGGGATTTAGCTCGGTGGTTCCACCACTTGCCTCACAAGTGCAAGGTCCTGAGTTCGATCCCCAATACCAAAACGAAAGGAGAAGGGGGCAGGTGAGATAAAGAGGAGGAAATATCTCTGGGAGCTGAGAGAAAAGTGGTATGATCTAATCAAGTAGTCAGAGGTTATTCTACTGTTAGTGGTGAGTTGTTCTTGCAAGTAAAATTAATGTTTATGTGCAAGATATACTTTATATAAATTCTGTGGAAGGTGTTCTCAGGAAATATATTTTAGAAGTATGTTTTCAAGAATATTTTTTGCTTTTGTGGTATACACATATATTTGCTAAGCTCTGTAGGGTCTCAATTCCAGGTAACCATTTGGAATCACATTTCTGTGGTGTCTAAGCTTCTCTATTGTACCACCGGGTGTGGCAGTTACTGCTGCTCCCATTCCTGAGCCAGCCAAGTAGAGCACACTCATCTAATCTGCCAGTTTTGGAGAAGGGATTTAGGTCTTACATGCTTAAATAGGTTTTATGAAAGTAGTAAAATCAGGATTATCTGTACTTTTTTTTTTTTGGTACCGGGGATGGAACTTGGGTCCTTGAGCTTGCAAGGCAGGCAGCAGAACCACTGAGCTAAATCCCCAGCCCCATCTGTACTTTTGATTATGATCTTTTCTGAGGTGCGTCATCATTTTCTTATTGCTAAGATGGAAATCTATAATCAAATATTACCTTGCCTTACCTAGTTGTCAGTGTAGATCCTTGAAGAATGGCCAATGTCTCTAATAATTGACAATGTATTTTTATCTGTATAGATGTAAAAACATACAAATAAAGACTATCTGTAAAACTTTATTTAATAAATACACATTCTTCCCTCCATGGTTAATAAGAACTTAAATTCTGCCCCTTACAAACAGGAATTTGCATGTACAATGGACCGTTGAGTTACAACCCACCTGAAATACAAATAACTTGGGATGTGACTGGGTGTCAAACTCAGGCCCTTATGCTTGCAAGGAAGGTGGTGGCACCACTGAGCTAAATCTATGGCCCTGGCAGTTTTCTTTTTGAAAATATACCTTTAAAGCGTTGGTTAGTGCAGCCACCTTCATCAGTTATCCTAGCTGCATCTTCTGGATAACTTACTGTAGCTTCTCCATCAGCACTTGATGCTTTAACTTGCACCTTATGTTATAGAGACAATTCTTTCTTTAAACCTCATGAACCAACCTTTAGTAGCTTCAGACATTTCTTGTGTAGCATCCTTGCTGTCTTGGTTACTCATTGCTGAGACAAAATAACCAACACTCAGAGTTAAAGGAGGAGTTCTATTTTAGCTAGAATTTATAGCAGTTTCAGTCCATAGGCAGCTGGCTCCAAGGTAGGATAGTGTGGCAGAGCCCATTGCAGAGGAAAAACAGTCGATGGCAAGGCAGGTAGGAGGCAGTGAGCAGCAGCCTATCTTTCCCTTTTATCCCATCTAGGCTACAAGACTTTTGAGGGATGCCACACTCACCCAGGGCAGGGCTTCCCATTACCCACACCTAGAACTGTGATAAACCAAGTAGTGATGTAACCCAGTACCATGCACCCATAATCCCAGTATCACATCCTTAATCCACATTCACACACCATAGATCCAGTTACCTCTGAAAAGCCCCATCTGTGACTGCATAAGGCTTTGGGGAGACATCTAGATACAAACCTTAACACTTACCTGTTTTGTTCCATATAATTGAAGAGTTAAGGTTCTTGCTGTGTATTAGGCTTTTACTTAAAGGCAATATTGTGGTTGTTGATCTAGCTAAACTACCAAAACTATATACAGTATCAGCAATAAAAATTTTTACATTCTTACACATGCATTCACTGCCACAGCGTTTTAGCATTTCCTCGAGAACATTTATCTTTGCATTCTCAACTTAGCTATTTGGCCAGGAGGCCTCCCTTTCAGCCAGTCTCAGCTTTCAAGACACCTTCCTTGCCAAGCTTAGTGACTTAGCTTTTTCATTTAAATTGAGTAGTATACAACTCCTCCTTTCACTTGAACACTTGAGGCCACTATAGGGTTATTTATTGGCCTGATTTCAATATTGTATCTCAGAATGCAGGGGCCTGAAGAGGAGCAGAGACCAGTACAGCTGGTCCACAAAACAGGCAGAACATTTATCAGTAAAGCTCACATCTCTGTGGGCATGGTTGATGCTGCCTGTCTTAGTTACTTTTCTTGTTGCTGAGACAAGTTAAAGGAGCAAAGATTTCTTTCAGTTCATAGTTGACTGCCTCCACGGCAGGGTGGCACAGCAGAGGAGCATCACAGAGAAGAAACAGTTCATGGCAGGCAGCAAAGCAGTGAAGAAGAAGCACGCTGCAAACAATCAAAATACCTCTTTCTGTCCCCTATACCCTATCTACAGAGACCAACACCCAGAACTATACTTAACCAATCAGTGGACTAATGTAGTAATCACATATTCTTAATCCCAGAATCATACAATTTAAACAACATCACACACCTTAGAACCAGCCATCTCTGAAAGCTCCACCTATGAGTGCATGAGGCTTCAGCAAGGAGGAACACCTAGAGACAAGCCATAACAGTATCTCAAAACAATCAAGTAGTAACATTTTAGATCACTCACCATAAACCCCCATAACAGAAGCAGTAAAATGAAAAAGTTTGCAATATTGAAAGAATTATCAACACAGAATGAACACATGCTATTTGCCACAGACCTTTGATGTATTTTTTAAAAAAACAGTGCAGATCTGCCCTGTATGATTCCAACTCTGTCAATTTGCCACTTTGGCAAGTTTTATCTATTTTTTTTCTCTCTCTCATTGAGATTATTGGTACTTTTTAATTATACAGTACAGTTACATTCATCATTGGGATCTTGTACACTCACATGACAGGCCTTGGTTCTCATTTTTTCCCCTCCCCCCGCCCTCCCTTTACCCCCTCCTCCCTATTTACAAAAACTTTTTTTCCATCTCTTAATTTTCTCATATTTTTTCTTTTCCCTTATTTCCTTTCCCCTACACCTTTAGCCCTTTTCTTCCTATTTCACATTGTCAATTATACCATTTGGATCTTATTTACACTTTTAGTTTTTCATACCAGAGAAACTATTTGGTATTTACACATGTGTGACTTATTTATTTCACTTAAGAGTATGACCTCACTATTCATCGATTTTCCTATGAATAACTAATTTCTCATTCCTTATGCCTGAGTAGTATTCCATTTTATAGAAAAACCACATCTGGCAAGTTTTATCTTTTTTGAACCTCATTTTCCTCATTTAAAAATATATGTAGAAGAGGCTGGGGATTTAGGTCAGTGGTTCCGCTGTCTCCCTTGCAAGTACAAGGACCTGAGTTCAATCCCCAGTACCAAAAAAACAAACAAACAAACAAAAAATATATATATATATATGTATAACAATAATTACTTCTTGAGTTGAAAATAAAATGACAAAAAATGCATGTAAAGTTTATGATTGGATATATTAGCAGCATTCAAGAAACATTAGTTCTTATTACTATTCCTAGCCTATATCAAATGTGGTCTGTAAGTCCTGAATATAGAATCTTGAATTTGGTCTTCAGATGACCTCTACATACTATTAATATTTTTCTTGCTCTCTGTGATAAGCTGAAATATTTATCGTCTCCTTGAAAGTTCTTATCTAACTGTATATACATCATTTGTCTTGTTTTAGATCAGAAATGCGTGAGCTTGGGAGACATGGGAGAGAACTTGAAGAACATTTCTGCTTTTTAGCGCTTCCTTATAGAAATGTGGTAGAGATATACCAGAATGGGTTAAGTACTAAAGCATCTACTTTGAAGATACTAGGAAATCCTCATCTTGGAATTTACACATTTAGACATGTTGATATTGCCTTGAATTATGCTTGTAATCAAAGCATTACAGTAGAAAGTATTATAATTTTTAAGGTAGGTACCATAAAACAAATATTACACATGTGGATGGTTTGCTTTAAATTGACCTGAACACATTTTTCCAATTAACATAAATTACCATTAAATTTTATTGAATTATAAAATAATATTTATATTAGTTTTGTTAACATTTGCAATTTTCTTTTTCTGACTCTTGACTGGGTGCAACACAAAGCAAAACTTCAAACAAAGCCTTCATCATTTTTGCCTTCCCAAAATATATAAACTCTTAACAGTTATTTCAATTAATAGTATTATAGCACTGTTGATTTCTTAATTTTGATAATTGTGCCTTGATTGGATCCAGGGTTTACAGGAATTTTGGACTACTTTTATGACGGGGTAGGTGTGTGAAACATTGTTAAGCTTTACCTTAGTGCATAGTGAAGTTATCATACATCTTTTATCTGGAATATGATTTGTTAATTGCCATGAGTTTTACAGAGTTTTTAGACATGTGAAAATGCTTACACAATCATGTTAAATGTTTAGGAAATTAAGTTAAACTATTATATGGGGTGATAAAATACACAGATTTAGCAGAAAGAAATGAACTCAGTTATCACTGGTAAACCAGATCGTCACAATGTGGAGTTTTCTGTTCTTTCTAGTTTTCTGAATATGCTGTGTCATTTCTTCCCAACTTTTTTATTAGATAAAATATAGCAAAATTTTGATGTCTTAGTGTTCAGTGGTTTTAAGTATATTTAAAATTGTTGCTCAGTCATCACCACCATCTTTATTTGCAAACTGAACACTTCCCATTAAACAATAACTGTCATTCCACCTCTCTCCATACCCTGTCAGCCACCATTCTATTGCCTGTCCTATGATTTTTATTTCTCTAAGTAGTACTAATAATTTGACAGTATTACTTTATTCTCTTTGTAACTGGCTTTATTTAGCATAATGGTCCTCAGTTTTCATCCCTGTTGTCAGAATTTTCTCTATATTATGCTTATTCATTCATCTATCAGTGGACATTTGGTTTTCTTCTACATTTTGACTGTGTTAAATGCCTTTGTAAACATGCATGTATAAATGTATCTTTAATACCTTACACTTGGTTATTTTGAATGTGCTCAGAAGTGAAATGACTGGGTCATATGGCAAAATGTTTTTTCTTAGTGTGGTTTTGTTTTGTTTTGTTTCATTGACTTTTTGAGATAGAGTCTCACTGTGTAGTTCAGATGGGCCTTGAACTCACTATGTAACCCAGGATGACCTCAAACTCACTGGGATCCTCCTGCCTCACTCTCCTGCATGTTTGAATTACAGGTGTGCACCACCACACCCAGCTTCTTTTCTTAGTTTTGGCAAACCATCTTACTTTTTGCTTTTTTTCTACCAGAGCTGCTATTAGCCATGCATAAGGGAACCAATTTCTCCCAAGACTTGCCAACACTTTTTATCTTCCTTTTTTAATGCTGGTTTCCTGAAATGACTTAGAGAACCCCTCTAAGGGGAAAAGTTTTAGAAGAATTGATGTTAGGCCTGGGAGTGAATCTCAGTGTTAGAGAACTTGCTTAGCATACTTTAGGACAGTGGTGGCAAACCTGCACACATGCTACACCAGGCTATTTGTATCATCAAGAGCTCTAAAAGGTTTATCATCACTACCTTCCATAGCGCCTAAAATAAAAAGGACCAGCCAGCTTACACGTTTTTCTGTTCCATATTTTGCCTACCTCTGGTCTAATAGATGTTGTTTTCTTCCTTTTACAAACTTGGTTTTGTTTTTCTTTTAGTTTCTAAAGTTGTAGTTATTTATTAGGTTACTGATATCAGATCTTTATTTGTTAATATAAACATTTATATCTGTAAATTCACCATAGCACTGCTTTCTCTGTGGCTCGTACATTAAGTGTGCTGTTTTTTCTTTTTCTTTCATCTTTTCATTTTTAATTTCTCTTAGAATTTCTTCTTTTGGTGATTATCTTAAAAGCATATTGTTTTAATTTCCAAAAATTTGTGAATTTTCAAATTACCCTTCTGTTGTTGGATGTCTAACCTCAGAGAATGTAATTCTTTTGTTGTTGTTGTTGTTTTTGTTTTTTTTTACCAGGGATTGAACTCTGGCCCTTGCACTTGCGAGGCAAGTGCCAGAAACATTGAGCTAAATCCCTGGCCCCACAGAGAATGTAATTTATATTTTATCTGTCTTTTTAAGTCTACCGAGACTTAATTGGTTGCCTACCATATGGCCTGTCATGAAAAATATTCCATGTGTATGCTGCTGCTGTAGGTAGTGTTCTACACATTAGATCTAATTGGTTTATTGTGTGTGTTCCTGTTCTGTGTTTCCTTACTAATAATTGAGAGTGGGTTATCAGAGTCTCCATTGCTGTTGTAAAAATATTTCTCCTTTCATTCTGTCAGTTTTTGCTTCAAACATTTTGATGGTCTGTTATTAGGTATGAAATATCTAATTGCCATAGGCTGTGGGTATGGAGTGCTTGCCTGTCATCTGTAAGATGCTGGGTGTGATCCCCAGAACTACCAACATAAAAATTAATGTCCACTTTTTCTCTCATGACTTGATGTTTTTTCTGGGATTTTGTTAGGGCTTTTTTTACCTCTTTACTGATAGTTTTATTTTGTGAATATATTATTCACTTGATTCACTTACCTTTAATTCTTTAAGCATCTTTAATACATTTGTATTAAAATCTTTGGTACAGTGGTATCAAACCTATGGCACACATGCTGCAGTGGGCTGTTTGTATCATTGAAAGCTCTAAAAGATTCATCAGCACTGGTCTAATAGGTAGGTCTGCCTACAGGCTTTTTTTGGTTTTTGTTTTGTTTTGTTTTTTAGTATCAGGGGTCGAACTCAGAACGTTGCATTTGCGAGACAGGTGCAGTGCCACTGAGCTAAACCCCTGGCCCAGCCTTTGGGTTTTATTCAGAGGCAGTTTCTGTTGTTATTTTTCCCCATTTCATTGGGCCAAAATTTCCTATTTCTTTGTATATTTCATGATTTTTGTTGCTGAACATTTGAATTTAATAGTGATAACTCTGGAAATTATGTCTCCCTCATTCCTTGTTTTTGGGTTTTGTGTTTTTATTGTTGTTATAGAATGTCTCTCTCACAAAGATCAGTCTGAAATGTAAACGTAATATCTCAAGTCCTTTTCTGAGCCTGCAACTTCCTCTCTACTTTGTGACTTCTGTTTTCCTCCATATTTGTTGGAGTTTTTTGTTTTTGGTTTCTGGTTTTGGATTTTTTATAGAGGGGTCTGGTTTGGGGTGTTTGTTTGTTTTTTGTTTTTTGTTTTGGTGGTACCAGCAATCAAACCTACCTAGCCAAGTAACTCTACCACTGAGCTTTTCCTGCAGTCCTTGGTGTCTGCTTTTAAATGTCTTAATCTTCGATGTCTACCTCCAAGGTTGGAGTAGGGGATGGGAAGGCACTGGCCCTTTAAATCTTGAAGGTTTTTTTTTTTTTTTTTTTTTTTAGCTGAAAAGGACAGGGGCAGGAGCTACCACCTCTGTGTGCACTTTTTATGAGGAATGATTAGTGATCCTTAGTGTTTATTCTTGCTGTCCCTGACTCCTAAAAATGATGTGAAAGCTGCTGCAGGACACACATAGCTTCTCGCCATGGGGTCCCAAGGGTTGGGTAAGGGTGACTGCTTACTGTGCTATGAGCTGAAACTAGCCTGAGTATACCAGGGATTTGCTAACAAATTTCATAATGTTGAGATATATCAGGTTTTTTTTTAACCCTTAAGTACTGTGATCATCCTTGTAACTCTTAAATACTATTTTGATCATCCTTGTAAATATGCTAAGACTTTTTTACCACATGCTAAGCACATGCTCTCCCACTGAACTATATCTTGGCCCTATTTACTAAGAATTTATTCCTATTTGTCAGATTAAGAGTTAAAGATGTATGTTTTTACAGCTTTTGATATGTAGTATCTTGTCTTGAGAAAGGTTGTACCATTTGATATATGAGAACAGCTGTTAAGTTACATCCTCACTAATCCTTAATTCTTAAAATTTTTTTGCCAGTCTGGTATATGAAACTATTTTGTCATTATTCATTCAGTATTTTGTCTTTATTGTGGTTGTTCTTGAGTTTAAATTTTCTGCTGTTTATAGAGTTCACAAAAAAAATGTATATACACCTAAAGAAAATGTTGTATTTTAATACTAAATTTATTTAAACATCATGAAATTAATATGTTACCTTTGGCCTCTACAATTATACAATTACAAGAGATGCTCAAGTTGGTGGCTGTTAGCTTCCAAACATTGATTAGTACAGTGAACTGCTGCTTTGGGTAACCTTGGTCATTGCTGTACCTGCATTTTCAATTTCTTTAGGAGCCTGCAGTATAGTGGGTTTTCTGCAATATATGACATCCTCTAACATTCTTCCTAAAAGGACAATGCTATCTGTTGAAAATATATCAAACTACTTTTCTTTTCCTGAAGTATATATGCATTTTTTTTGGTGGACTCTGTATTTGTTGACTATATTTAGTGAATTGCCTTTTAATATCCTCTGCCATTTCCTTGGGTTTTTTTTTTTCATTTTTACTTGTGTCTGATTTGTAAATATCAGTTGACTAAATATTTTGAGCTAGATTTTTGTCTGTATAATTTTGTTTTTTTAATAAGCTTTTTATTTTGAATAATTGTAGATTGACAGAAAAGTTACAAAGATAGCATGCTAGGCAAGAGCTCTGCTACTGAGCTACGTTGCCAGTCTTTGCTGGCATTATTTCTTAGAAGATTTCACACTTTGATTGTAGATAAATATTTGCCTATATTTCTTTCACAGTATTTTCCTTTTGTTTAATACTTAAATATTTAACTTATTTGATATTTATTTTAGCTTATAGATTAACAAAGAAATTTATTTTTTTCCATCGATCCCTACCATTTATTGAATAATCTTTTTTCATTTCATTTCTTTAAAATGATACCTTTAATAGTATGCTATATTTTTCATATCTATGTGAACTTGCTTCTGGGGTTTTAATTTTCTGTTTTTTTGTTATTCCTCTACCTTTTCTTGTATTAAAATGTTTTAATATCTGAAACTGCAAGTCACCTGTTGTGTACCATCATTCTCTCTTTCTCTTTTTTGACTCCAAATTTTAAAATAATTTTTTAGATATTCTTGATTGTTTTCTAGCTAAGGTTTTAGACTAAAACTCATTTCCAAAGGTAGATTTTCTTAAAATGTTACTGGAACTGCTCTAACCTTAGTTTAATTTGGAGGAGAATTGATAAAATTGGCATGGTAAATCATCCCATTTATGTAGGACACATCAAAAAAGTATTAGCTTTACTTTGTTGATGTGTGAAAGTTTAAAGTGCTCTGATGTATTCTTTTTCTTAGGTTCTTTTTGGGAAAGTAAAGAAAATTCAACCTTCTATGGATATAAACAAAGTTTCTTTGGATCCTTCTCCTAACTTTGATTGCCATATGTCAAGAAGTGTACCTTCTCTGAAAGATTCCATTGAGTTACAAGCCTACAATTCAGTGGTAGGTTAGCATTAGGTTTCATATGACTTGAAATTCACTTAATATAGTGCCTAGTCTGGTGGCTACTTTTACTTAGATGTTCCACAGATTAATTCCTAACTTGGAACCCATACCAACTTCTCAAAGACTTCACAGCAAGAGCACCATAATTAATAGTAATTTATTTTTTAAATTACTGAGAGTAAATTTCAAATGTTTCTCCATGAAAAAAATGACAGATGTGTTAGTTTCATTTAATCATTCTGATATATATATATATATATATGTGTGTGTGTGTGTGTGTGTGTGTGTGTGTTTGTGTGTGTGTGTGTTAGCCATTTGTACTCCATAATTATACGGTTATGATTTATTTATAATTTTAAAATGAAAAGGCTGTTTTGAAACAATATTACTGATTCTTTGTACTTTGTAAAATATGAAAAGCTTTATGTACATATTAGCCATGAAGTGAAATGGCAATTTCCTTTCACATTTGGCTTCTAATGTTCTATAGAAGGTTAAATTTTATGTATAATTAACTGAAGATAAATTTTCTAAATAGGAAGATATACTTCTTTCTACATGTAAAAAGTATTATTTTCCTAATTTTTTATCAAGCAAAATATAATGCAAAGGTTCAGAATGTATGCAAAACATTTAACTTTTGTGGCATAATACTTCCTGTTTTAAAAACAGATTGTGTCTGTTTCTGCAAACATTGCAAATATGTGGTGGAAAAAAAAAAGGAATTTTGTATATCTTTTTAAAATCTGGGTTGAATCAGACAGGAGGGAATGGTACATTGAAGTAGATAAATTATGTAACATCATACAGGTATGCAGCATTTTTTAAAATAAGAGCTTGAGTTTAACTGCCAAAATTCATCAGCACGAACTTGTTTCTGTTTTTTATCCTTCAGGTATACTTCTATGAATACAGTGCCTTTTCAAAGCCAGTAGATAAGCCTAGGCAGTGTCTCCCATATGCAATAATAACAGTAAAATTTATTGGTCAAAAAATGGATAATGGACACCTTAAAACAACTTTGAGATTTCTCACAACAGGATTTCCTAAGAAGCCTGGTAAAATATATGATTTTTTTTTTTTTTTTTTTTTTCACCAGGGAACAAACTTGGGTCCTTAGGCTTGCAAGGCAGGTGGCAAAACTGCTGAGCTAAATCCCCAGCCTCCCTGGTAAAATATATGTATTATTCTATTTCAGTAGCATTGTGCTGGTCCTAAAATTGCTAAATATTTTTAATGTATTGTGCATCTCTAAGCAAATAGTTGTGGAGGGTTTTGTGTGGTTTTTGTTGTTGTTGTTGTTTGTTTATTTGTTTGTTTTGGTACCAGGGATCAGAACTTAGGACCTTTCACTTCTGAGGCATGTGATGGCACCACTGAGCTAAATCCCAGGCCCAGAAAATAGTTTTTTATAAGTTCCTTTATTATTGAAGGTTTAAGGAATAAATTTCTATAAATTTAGAAAGAAAATTCATTTTCATTTTTCACATTTTTAATTACATAATCATATTGAGCATCCCTCATCCAAAATGTAAAATGCTCCAAAATCCAAAGCTTATCAAGCCAGTAAAAATTCCACACCATGAAGCTATTCCTCACACAGAATTATTAAGAATATTGTCTGCAGTTGCCTTCAAGGTAGAAGATTCACAAACAGTGAATTTCAGAAGAATCTGAAATCTAAAACCCTTCAGTTTATAGGAAAACTTATTGTGCAGTGAATGCCAGAGGAGTAATGGTTTGCTTTAGCTCCTGAAAAAGATTTTGTGAGATTTGGAGGGTTTTCTTCCCCCTACATCATTCTCCTTTCTTTCCTCTTTTTCTCCCATGATAGAGTGGAAAGAGGCAAGGTAACAGTAGATGGGAGACAATTTTGCCTACTAATACATACATGCCATTAAATATCAGAATATTGGAAAATAAGGGCTAAGAGAAAAAAATTTCCTATTTAAGTTTTCTTTTTTTATTGAATGTATTGGTACATTCGAGGTAGACAGTACAGTTACATTCATTACTATGATCTTATACCTTTACATGACAGGTCTTGGTTCTCATTTTTCCCCTTGAGTTTTCTATTGTCAGAATCCATTTTTAAGTTTCTTGACCAGAGCTTTCAGTGAATCATTTATTGGCTTGGTATTCACTGTCTTATCTCTGTCTGTTTTCTCTGCTGAGAACAAATTTTAATCATATGTTACTTAGATGAACTTTTAATTAAAATCACTCATGACAAATTTTTCTTGTATTGATTTGTCTACATTTTTATTATTTTTACAGAAAGAACATGCTCTCTGAATAACTGTACAGTGGCCAAAAGAATTGGAAAAGGGAAACATGCTACTGTCATCTTTGAGCATTTTGGGAAACCTGTAGATCCATTTGCTCCAGAAAATTGTTCGTGCAATACACAAAATTCAGAGATAAATTCCTTCAACGCAAATGTTTCTGATTCTTCTGAAAATGTGCAAAATGGAAACGTTTCTATACTTGAAACAGTTAGTGGGCAAACAGAGAACAGTTCAGCAGAAAGTACAAACATTTCTCAAGGACATGTACATGATTCAGGTCCTTTTATGTCCAGTGATAACAAAGAAAATGGTAACAATGGTTATTTGTTTTCAACATATCTTAAAAATATTTTAAGTGTTATTTCTTCATATTTTCCTCTTTACAAGAATATTGACTCAAGTACAGTTACTACTTCAAAATTTATCAAAGACCCAAGACTTATGAAAAGAGAAGAAAGTATGGGAAAGCAGAATAATACTACAGGCTTCAGTGAGGTTTTGCCAGTTGAGAATAATTTAAATAGTAATTCAGAAATAAACCTGTCGGGTGTGTCAACTAATTTTGTCTCATCATCTGAAGTTGTCCCCTCTGATTCTGCTACTCTTTCTGATTGTTTGGATACCCCTTGCTCTAGATTTTCTTTTGACGACTCACCATCTCCAACTCACAACATGGACCCTAAGGACTATCATTCTGTAGCATCCAACAAAATTACCAGGGTCAGACAAAGTAAGGACCAAGGCCATTTTTCCTCCCCACTTTCTTTGTTAAATGTTTCAGAGCTTGAGAACCAAAAACACACTGAGGAAAAAGCCAAGACAGCCCAAGAAAGAAGTAATATTCCGCAAAGCAGCAAGGCACATAGTTCTTATGAATCAGTGAATACTTACACAAAAGACTCTGATAGTCAGATCTCAAAGGAATTACATTCTTCTAATTTTGCATCTACATATCAGATTGGTCACCATATGTCTGCAGTTTTTCCACTCCAAATGGAAGAAAGTGTAGATGAATGCATTCAAAATATTGGCAAGATAAGAAACTTCACTGACCCAGAAGACAGTTACCGATATGAAGAAAAGCCAATTTTGGAAAACGAAACTGATAATTTCACTGATGCAACAAAAATCACTCCAATCAATAATTATATTTCTTCACATCAAGAATACAAAGATGATGAGACTCTTGATTCTTTGGGGGGAAATAGTGATGAAATATTAATTACTCAAGAGTTAGAAATGCCAAAATCTCTCACCTCTACCATGGAAGATAAGAATGAACAGGGTCACTTAGCACTAGATTTAGAAAGTAATCTTACTCTAAATATAGAGTGCCTTTCACAAGAGCATCCTCAACACTCTATGGATTGTGAAGATAGCATCCATACAAGTTTTGTGTTTACTCAGAAGCTAAGGGAAATTAATTTGGAAAAAAGAAATGAAAATTGTATTAGCATTATAACTGATCCTTTCCAGGAAGCAAAAGACATTTCTCAGACCGGAGAACTGTTTGCTGATTCCATAAGTCCATTTCATGGTATTGAAATAACCTTTGATAATTCAAGAGAATACGTATGTGTCCAGAGGAAAAATGAAAATGAGTCATTGTTAGAAGATATTCAAAGAAACTGCAAAGAAATTCCTTACGTTGAAGATGAAGGTGAGGCTCACTTTCTGTCCCGTAATGCACAATTAAATGACAGTAGATACCTAACTCTTCATTTCAAGGGGCAAGGAGATAATGATAAAGAAAACAAAAATAAAGAGGATGATAGAACTTCATTTCCAAAAGACAACATGGAGAAAATATATGAATGCAAGAAGCAAGAGTACCCTACAAAGAATACTTTCACCAATATAGGTTGGAAGAAGAATAAAAATGACAACAAAGTAGAAATTATCAGTTCTAAAGATATTCCTACAACATTCAACTTCATTTGGGGAAAAAAAGATATGTCACCAGAAACTGCCTTATTAGAAGATAAAGATATTCTTGCTGCCAAGAAACAGAGAGATGTGCAAAACCCTGGAAGAAGTGTAGATTATTTGACTTTCACATCATTTCCTAAAATGGCAGATTATTCCGTAGGTGTGACCTCAAGTTCTGCAGTAGAGTTAGCTGCTACTACTTTGCCTGCATTAAGTGCAAATCATGAAGCTCAACAAAGATACCAGTTTAAAGAAACTTGTTCTTCTGAGAGTCCAGATTTTGAGTCATTAGTAAAACACAAGATTGCTGATTGTGAAATTGATGCGGATAAAAATAAGTTGCAAGATTCATTTCATCAGCCAATTAATGAGAACTCACTTCTTCAAAATTTTGGATTGGGAAGTGAGATTGAAGTAGAATTAGAAGAGTGCGATGATGCTTTTCTATTTCAGCAAAATAGACACAGCCATGAAAATGTACTTGATGAGGAATGTGAGGCCTCTTATGAGGCTCTAAAGTCTCATATTGATTGGGAAGGTCTATTTGGAAGCAGTAATGGAAAAGTGGACAATTTGGGAAGCACCGTAAGACAGAATATAGATCAGCAACACTCTAAGAATACTATTTGTTTCTGTTCTACTTACAAAAAAGAAGTCTACCCAATTTTATTTCCAGATCTACATGTTAGAATTACTAATACATTTACATCGACATTCAGTCCCGCTGATGATACCCTTTCAGTGAAAGATAATTTTTACAAATGCTTAACAGAAGCCCCAAAACCAGGAATAAATGGGGGGGAAGCTCCAGGATTTGATATTTATTCCAAATCTTGTGAAAATTCAAGTTATCCATGTACAGATCAGTTTGGTAATTCCATGCAGGATTCAGGACTCTTGAGTAAATCTGAAATCTTCCATTCTTCTGACATCAGTAACAATACAGCTGTGAATCATAAGTCTGGAAAAAAAAACAATGACTCTCTTTCTATTGAACCTTCTAATGTCACAACAATAAATGGTGACCAGAAATGTTTTTTTACAGAATCAAAAACTGACTTTAATGACACTAGAAATAAAAAGGACATGGAATCAAGAATTAGCAAGAAATACATACGTACATCTTTTAGGGATCAGAATATATCACATAAAGATTTAAGACAACGTGAAATATGTGAGAAGGAAAAGGGACTAACCAGTCATGACTCATCTGAGTGTTTCTCTTCATTATCCCAAGGACGATTGAAAATATTTTCACAGTCAGAAAGGCACATAAGGGGTGTCCTAAATATTCTAAATAGTGAAGCATCTTTATGTAAAAGCAAACGTCTTTCCAGAAAACTAAACAGAGCTGTTCTTCACTTAAAGAAAGCTCATAGAAGAGTTCACACATCTTTGCAGCTTATAGCGAAAGTGGGAGAAAAAAGAAAGGGTCCATTACCCAAAGCATATGAAATAACATGCAATAATTTCTGGGAAAGCTGTGACCTTCAAGGTTACAGTTCTGTGTCTGAAAGAAAATATTCCAAGCGTTTTTTATCAAAAAGAAAATATGACAAAATAGGGAAAGTTTTTGGATTTGATGTTAATCAGTCAACCTGCATATCAAAGTACAAATCATACAAAACAAATGGAGAGAGGATTGCAGTGTGCCATTCCAAGAAAAATGTGACCAGTAGCGGCTCCAGAAGTCACACCACTGTTCACAGAGAATTTTGTAATCAGCACTCTTCACAGTTGTCACTATTCTCTACATCCCAAGGTACAAGTCAACCAGACTTTGATAGCAGTATGAAAGATTCAAGAACATCAGAACTTAAGCATTTTTCTGGAAAAAGTGAATATTTGCTTTACTCAGAGGAAAAACAATCTGAAAAAGAAAATCAAATTGATACAAAATTGTCGGACAGTAAATGTGGAAAGCTCAGGGACCATTCGCATAATAAGGATGTGACCAAAAAAAATAATTCTGAAGTTAATAAAATAGTAAGCAAAAGCAGTTCAATATCTTTAAGTGGCACAAAAGACAACAGTGTAAGTTACAGCACAGACAAAAATGATGCAACGTATATACCCCACACAGAGGTGAAAACTGACATATTTGTTTCAACCTTAGACTCAAACATGAAGTCCTTTTTAAATGTTGATACTTACAAAGGAAATGACTGTATTATATCTGGTTTTCAGAGTAACCTAAAAGTAAATTTTCCTATAGAAAAGTGGATAACTCCTACTGAGAGCTACAAAGCAAGCATTATTACAGGAAAATTCCTTGTGGGTCCATTAAACTTAACTTTGATATCAAGCAAAAAGTACAATATTCTTCAGTTATTGACCTCTCCAGTGACAGACAGTGAGAGAGAATCTTCAAAATCTTGTTTGAGTAAACGGAGGATTCTTGCTATAGACTATTCTGCTACACCCACTACTATGTCACACTGTCAGCAGATATATAATGGGAAGGATCTTCTAAAGACACAACAATCTTCAAGTAGTCTCTGTGTAGAAGGGAATGAAACACATGTTACTGAGCATTCAGAGTTGGATCTAACATCAGTAACTAGAGAGAGTAAAAGGTACGGGAAAAATATAATGAAGAAACTATCTTTTAAGGATAGTTCTCTGCTCTTAAAAGATAATATAAAGGATTTGACCAAAAAAAATATTGCAAAGAAAGATACTCGGAACAGAAAAACTAGGAAAATTGAACAAACAGAAAAAGCAAAAGATTCATTTTACCAAAACATGACTGAAGGCTCAATTTTTAAGATTGAGCACAAAAATCAAAAGATCCTAAAAGAAAAATCAGTGAAAAGTGACCTGATGGATTCTCACCTAAGCATTAAAACTACTCCAGAGGCAGTTTCTTTGAATAACACAGTTTCTAGTCAGCATAAAAAAAGAAAGAGGAAAGGAAAGAGAAAAGTCAGTAATGACTGTCAGTCTGGCTGTATTTCTAAACCTGGCATTCTAGAAATTGATCATATGCCTATTCTCCATGCTCACGCTGAAACTTCTAAAGTTACTATTCAGAAACCTACATCATATGAGAATGAATTCAAAGAAAATCTTTGCTCAGTTACTCATACAGCTCTTATAACAGAGCTATCTCAGATTTTGCAGAGAGCAGATGAAGCATCATCATTGGAGATTCTAGAGAAAGAAACTAAAGCATGTCAAAATATTCTCCCTTTATTTGTTGAAGCTTTTGAAAGAAAGCAGGAATGTTCACTTGAACAAATTCTGATTTCAAGAGAGCTGTTGGTAGAACAAAATCTGTGGAATAATTGCAAATACAAATTAAAGCCATGTGCTATTGACACTTTGGTAGAACTTCAAATGGTGATGGAAGCCATTCAATTCATTGAAAATAAAAAAAGGCTCTTAGAAGGTGAACCAACATTCCGAAGCTTGCTTTGGTATGATGAGACATTGTACAGCGAGCTACTTGGCAGGCCACGTGGATATCAACTGCAATCTAGTTTCTATCCTGCTTTTCAAGGAAGGTTAAAATATAATGCATTCTGTGAGTTGCAGAATTACCATAATCAGTTAATTGAATTATTTACAGAAACAAAAAGGGAAAATAATTCATACTATGCAGTCTTAAAATACAGGCGACAGATTAACGAATGTGAAGCCATAATGAAACATTGTTCTGATTGTTTTGACTTTTCTCTTTCTGTTCCATTTACCTGTGGAGTTAACTTTGGAGATAGTTTAGGAGACCTAGAAATCTTAAGAAAAAGTACTTTAAAGCTGATCAGTATATATGGAGACTCTCCTACTGTTCATTCATATCCAGGAAAACAAGACCATCTATGGATTATTATAGAAATGATTTCCTCAAAAGTTAATTTTATTAAGAGTAATGAGGCAATAAGTATTAAAGTCTCTCTCTATGGTCTAGAACATATCTGTTTTGATGCTGCAAAAAACCTTGTTTGGAAGGAGAAAAGACAGTCTTTCTGTGAAAAATACTCAAAAAAGAACAAAGAAGTGATACATAAAGTGAATAAATGTGCTTTATCTAAATTGCAGAAGATATATGATAACTTGTCTGAAAATTTAAACAAAGAAACAGCTTCCAGTATTGAGCTAAAGGAAAATACTGTGATTACTTCCAGGAAGTCAGATAATCTAATTACAATAGAGAACTTTAGGTTAAGTACTTTGTTTTCACAACCAGATATTTGTTGTATTGGTGAAATATTGGATCAGGCTGAATTCGCAGACTTAAAAAAATTACAGGATCTCACTTTGGTATGTACAGATCACTTAGAAACTTTAAAAAAATGCTTTCAGATGCTGCAAGAAGATAACATAGATGATATTTTTATCACAGAAGGAAATGTTTTGTACATGTTGAAAAATCACAATCATGGGGCAGTAATTTTAAAACCTGAAGCAACTGAAACATACATTGAAATTGCCATGCTCTCAGAAACAGTTCACTATCTTAAAAACTCAATGGCAAAGAAATTAGACAACCAGAGATTTCGAGGTATGCTTTGGTTTGATTTGTCACTTCTTCCTGACCTGGTTTGCTGCCAAGAAAAAATGGTTTCTTTCTCATTTCTTGAAGATAACCCAGGAGATTGCCTTTGGAAAGCAGTAGAGAGTGGTATTTCTGAGTGTAAGAAAGATATAGATATCATCTACAAGTACAATGAAGCTGTTAATTGCTCATATGCTCTTCATTTATTCTCAAGGGAACTTAAAGAACTTTCAGAAATAAAAAAGCTTCTAAAGAAATCTGAATATCCCATTTCTACATACATTGACTTTGTCCCATATATAATGTCCATAAATTATGGAAACACTGTGACAGAGTTAGAACAAAACTACAGTCGGTTTTCTACATTGCTCAAAAATATAATGTCTGTCCCTCAGAAAGATTTAGGAAAAATGGCCCATATTATGAAAGTCATGAAAACCATTGAACATATGAAGATTATATGTGCTAAAAATGCTAAATTAACCACTTCTTTTATCCTATGCCAAATACTACATAACAAAAGGAATAATTTCCAATTGAAGAAAAAAGAAAAGACGAATATTCATTTTGCCATACCTGAGGAAAACACCAGACCCAGTACTTCTCCAAAGGTACCCTCAACTTCAGTGTATTTAATCAAAAACATTTCACATTCATCTAAAAGGCGGCCTAGTGCTCTGGACAAGTGTGAAGACTCTCAGGAAAAAGGGAAAAATACTATTTCAAGTTGTAAAAAGCGAAAGGTAAGAATATTTTTAAATGAAGCCACTATATTCTGAGAACAAGTCTGCTCTTTAAACAGACAAGTAGTTTGCAGAGTTGTATGCAGACTACATGTATAAAGCTTGAGCACGGTTTAAGTACTGCCTCAAAAAACTTAAACTTTGCTAACTATTGGATTAAATAACTCATCTGTGACATGTCAGAAGTTATTGTACATATGGGAGATACCTTGCAAATGTCCACTTTATTCAGAAAACAATTTATGGAAGAGAGAACTTTATATAGCTTTTTGTTTTTGTTTCTTTCTGATACTGGTTATTGAAGCCAGACCTTCACACTTAGCTACGTCCTTACCCCTTTTTTTCCCCATTTTTTATTTTGAGGCAGAGTCTCACAGAGTTGCCCAGGCTGCGCTCTAATTTATGATCCTCCTGCCTCTGCCTTCCAGAATGCTGAAATTACAGGTGTGCATTGGCACACCTGACTTTCATAACTTCTTAGGGGGAAGTTCATTATGAATGACTGACTATTCGTTGAATAGCATCTGTGTGTAATGTGTAATGAATATTAACAACTAACTAATGAAACCTCTTTGACTGTTATTATCTAGATCAATGATGCCAAATCTTTTAGAGCTTTCAGTGGTAACAAACAGCCCACTGTAGCACACGTGCCATAGGTTCCCTGTCACTGAACTAGATGGAGAAACTGAGCAATTGTTTTTAAGTAATTATCAAGAAGTTAGAAAAAGTCCTACATAAAAACATTTTAATAACTTTATGTAGCATGTACAAAGTCATTCTTAATGAAAACCTTAGGATGCATGTGTTGTTATTCTCATTTAAAAGTAAGAAAACTGGGCCAAGGCTGTAGCTAGCACAGAACATGCCTGGCAAGCACAAGGTCCTGACTTCATTTTCTGGTACCGAAAAATAAATAAATAAATAAATAAATGTAAGAAAATTAAGGCATAGGAAAATTTAGAAACTTTCCAGGGTCACATACTAAATGGGAGAGCCTGTATCTAAAACCAGACTGTCTAACTCCAGAGCCCATACTAAAAATTGTCTCTACTCTACTTAGAGGCTTCTCTTGACAACTTTTGAGAAATTCTTAGTTCAGAAGTAAATAAACAGAAACCTGTATGCAAAATGAAAGAATCTTTTCTTATTCTAATTGTACATATCTGTGACTTAATCCTACTTCTAGAGAAGAGGAATTTAGTCCGTCTTTTTTAAAAGTTGTGTTCTTAAAAGCTTTGTTTGTATTAGTACATGTTTGCAGTACATAGTGATCACGTGTAGAAGTTGGTACATGTATGTATTACATCTCAGTTCTTTCACTTCTCTTCAGATCTTCTTCCTCCCTCCATCTCTTAATCTTCCCATTTGCAAAAGATCTATCACCTTATTTCCTACTATCTTTTATTTTGCTCTTCATTTGTACTTTGGGCTTCTCATATAAGAAACCATGTTTCTTATATTTAAGATAAGATATTTAAGCTTCTGTCTAACTCTCTTTTCCTACAAATGACTCAACCATTTATCCTTTTTCATGGCAGGGTTGAATTACAGTATGTATAAATACTACACTGTTTTTACCATGCATTTTTTGATGAACATATAGGCTACTTCCAAGATTTAGCGATTATGAATTATACTGCTGTGAACATGGATATGCATGTATCACTGTAATGTGATGTCTTTATTGCTTTGAGGAAGGTGCTTTGAAAGGGAATAGCTGGGTTGAATGGAATTGCTAGTTTCAGTTTTTTGAGGAATCTCCATACTGATTTCCGTAATGGTGATGCTAGTTTACATTGCCATCAACAATGTAGAAGAGTTCCTATTTCCCCTGAAGCCTCGCCAGTATTTGTTATTGTTTGATTTCTTGGTGATAGACATTCTTTCTAGAGTAAGTAGAGTCTCACTGTTGTTTTGTTTTGTTTTGTTTTGCTTTGTTTGTGGTACCGGGGATCCAACTCGGGTCCTTGCATTGCTTTTAATATTCATTTCTGTAATGGCCAGAGGTGTTGATCACTTCTCATCTGTTGGCTATTTGTACTACTTCTGAGAAGTGTCTGTTCATTTTAGTTGCCCATTCTTCTATTCTTTTACTTTAGAAAGGTCTAACTTTTTTTTTAGTTCTTTACTCTAGATATTAGTCCTCTGTCCAGGGTGTAAGTGCCAAAGTTTTCCCTGTTTTGTAGATTGTTCGTCCACTCTGTTGTTTCCTTTGCTGTGCATACATTTTTAAAATTTGATATAATCCTAATCCTTTTTGTTGATTCTTGATGTTATTTGTTATGCCATTTGGGTTGTGTTCAGAAAGTTCTTGCCTGCCAAGGTTTTACCTGTTTGATCTTCCAGCGGATTAAGTGTTTCTGTTTTAATATTTAGATCTTGATCAATTTGATTGTAGGTTAATACTTGGTAAACTATATGGGTTTAGATTCAATCTTCTGCATGTGGATAGGCAGTTTTCCTAACACCATTTGCTAAAAAAGTTATCTTTCCATAAGCATATGTTTTTGTCCCGTTTGTCAAAGATCAAGTGGGTGAATGTGCCTGGATCCTCTTTCTGCATCCTCTATTCTGTTCTGTTGATGCTCACATCTTTTTTTGAGCCAATATCATGTTTTTATCACTGTAACTATAATATAACTTGAAATCCAGGATTCTGATGCCTCCTGCTTTCCTCTTGTTACCCTGGATTGCTTTTGCTATTCTGTCTCTTCTGGTTCCATTACCGATTTTAGGTTGTTTTCTCCAGTTCTGTGATCAGTACTGTTGGTGTTTTGACTGGGATTATATTATACCTATATATCAGTTTTGGAAGTAGGGCATTTTGACTGTTGGTTCTGCCTATCCAGGAACAGGGGACATCTTTCCATTTGCTGATGTCCTCTTTGATCTCCTTTTTCAGAGTATTGTAGTTTTCACTGTAGATATCTTTTACTTCCTTTGTTAGATTAATTCTAAATATTTAATTTGTCTTGGTGCTATTGTGATCAGTATTGTTTTCTTAATTTCTTTCTCTGTGGTTTAATTATTGGTGTACAGGAGCACTATTGATTTTTGTGAATCGCCACATACTGTACTGCTTGTAGTGGAATGGTTAATAACCAGGACACAACAAAAGCAGAAGTTATGTATTCCACATTAAAAGTAAAAGTGGAGATAATACTACAAAAATGGTATTATAGCAGCACAGTTTTTAATAGCTAAATCTTGGAAACAGCCCAGAAGCCCATCAACTGATGAATGGATAAAGATGCGGTTTTTTTGTACAATGGAGTCGTACTCTGCCATAAAGAAGGATGAGCTTGAGACATTTCTAGTTAAATAGATGCACCTTGAGACCATACTCTTAAGTGTTGCAAATTTTTTAAACACTTCAAATATATGAAATATGGAAAGTCCAGCAGTCAGTTTTGGGGGATGGAATTAATTTTTTTTTATTTTGTCATCACTAATGGAAATTTTATTTTTGTCTTTTAAACATAGGTTAACATGGACAATATCTCAAAAATCAACGAAGAGAAGGCAGTGTTCAGGTGTCTAAGGTAAGAGCTGCAGTTAGCCCTGTCTGAAGAAAAACTAAACAATTAGACGAAAAAAGCAATTATTTCTATTACTCTGCTGTATCCTGTACTTACTATGCAGTGTTTTCAGTTAGCCTAAGAACCTAGGCTTTATTTTGTAAATCAGTGGTCTCCAACCCTCTTGGCACCAGGGACGATTTTATGGAAGACAGTTTTTCAGCAGACTGAGGGGGCAGGATGGTTTCAGGATGATTCAAGCACTTTATTCTTATTATTACACTTTAACATATAATAAAATAATTATACAATTCAATGCACAATCAGTGGGATCCCCAAACTTGTTTTCCTGCCACCAGATGGAGCTGTATAGTTGAAGTACATTAACTCACTTGCCACCAGATGCAGCTTGTCACTTGTCAGTCACTTGTAGGGATTTAATATGAATGTGCAAGCAATTGATTTATTATGATCTCTGCAGTCAAACCTCTGCTATGTTAATTTGCATTTGCAACCACTCGCCAACGTTGGCATCGCTGCCTCAGCTCTACCTCAGATAATCAGATAATTAAAATTCTCATATGTGTGTAACCTTCAATGTATAATTCACTGTAGGATTTGTGCTCCTATAAGAATCTCATGCCACTGCTGATCTTACAGGAGCTGAGCTTCTTTCAGCTTGCTTTAATGTCTAAATTTAGGTAAAAATGTCAAGGACATTTGATGGGCAAGAAATTTTGGAGGTCCATTTTGTTATAGTAAGAGTTCTCCTATAGGGAATTGGGAATCCACAGCTGGTAATTATAATCTCAGGAGGGAGAGGGATATTTATAGTTAATGAAAATCATCAATGGGTTGGAGGTATAAAAATTAGAAACTATACCAAACAATTGATAAAATGATAGTTTCTTGCTTTCTACTGTGTGTTGGTGGTGGGGGGTGCTAGGAATCAAACCCAAGACCTCATACATGCTGGGCAAGTGCTCTACCACTAAACTACATCCCCAGTCCAGTTTTCTACTTTTAAAAGACTTTATCAGGAAATATTTAGAGCCAAATTATTAATTTTATAATATTGAGAATATATTTAAAATTCAGAGTTTATCATTTTCAGCAGAAAAAGTATCTAAATTCAAACCAAGGAAACAGGTTCTTGTGTACTCTAATAAAATGAGCAAATGTCAGACTTGAGAATTCTTTAAAAACTCTGAATAAAAATTTGAAATACAAATTTTTGTTAAAATTTTTATTGATTGGGAATGTAATTCAGTGGTTGAGTTCTTGCATAGCATGCCTGAGGCCCTGAGTTCAATCCCCATCACTGAAAAAGAAATTCTGACTGTATATTTAAAGTTGTTTATATGTTGTTAATAGGACTACAGGATTTCATCCCAAGAGTGAAAACAAAATAGGATCAAGTTCATCTGACAATCTGAAAAGAAACTATGTATCTCCAAAATGGGATGAAGTGCAGAGATCACTAAGTGACTCACTTTCACCTTTAAAGAACGTTCAAGACACTTGCACATCAGAGTCACAAAGCAAAATAGATTTAACTAATAGTCCATCTGATACCTCAAAACACCTCATTGAACAACAGGAAAACTTAAATAGTATTAAGAAAAGAAATGTGAATTTTGGTGCTCCTGAAACAAAAAGTTATAAAAAGGATTGTGCTTCTTTTGCAAATTGTGACCCGAAAAGCATAAATGGCATTTTGTCAAAAGACCAAGAAATACCTTCACGAAAACTTCTTAAGAATCTCCCAGATCCTGCACAGAAAACTTGTCTTTCAAACATAAAACCAGCAGCTGATGACTCTCTTGTGACTAATACATCAGTGTCCTCAGAGCCTATTTCCCATTCTGTGAGGGATGTACATACTAACTTAGAAATAAATGGAATAGTCTTAGAACATCGAGATAATGAACTATTAGATTCATCTATTAATAACTCCACATGTGCCAGTTTTCCAGAATCTGTACATATCCACAGCAGAATTCCTGATACATTGAGTCCCAGTCCTATACCTTTTGGAGCATCTGGAAGCTTAACCCCTGATACGAATCAAACAGCAGAATATTCCTTTTCTCAACAACAGGATGAAGATAATCCAAAAGTCCTAACTCAGAAAGCTGCCACCTCCTGGAGTGAACTTCCACAGTCTGCCTACACTCCAGTATACAATTCTTCTAGCCATTCACTGGAAACTCCATACTATGCTTGGTGCATTTATCATTACAGCAGCAGCAATGGCAATGCCGTTACCCACACATACCAAGGGATAACATCATATCAAGCACAGTCTCCTCCTTCTGAAATACTGACTACACTTACAAGTACTGTCCAGAACACACCTTCTAATCTTCTATACTCACAATATTTTAGTTACTTTGCTGATCAGCCACAAGCAAATGCCTTTGTGCCAGTGAATGGGTATTTTCAATCTCAAATGCCTCCTACTTATCATTTGCAGCAACCAGTTGTTTCACAGTATTCTTCTTATCAGCCATTACCACAAGCTGTTTACCCTTATCCTCCTGCTTCAGGTGTGCTTCCAGAATCTCCTTGGATTTATGGTGAGTTGTATAAGTTTTAACAGTTGAGTCTTTTAATTTTTTACATTTATGTAAATGGAATTCACAATAAGTGAATATAAACCAGCCATTTTTCCATGCACATTTGTAGAATTGTTCATATATCAGACAGAGTTGAATTGTTTTATTAGTTGAAAATCTGATTGTCAAAGATAAGAAAAAAGAACTGGTCATGTCACAAATATATCCTGAAAGAAAACTCAATCCTAGGGAATAATTAAGTAAATTATAGTTAGATCCATACAGTGATACAACCATTAAATTATTCATCAAAGTTCTTAATGACATGACAATTTTTTAAACTATATCGCATAAACTTAAACACCAACATTTTAACTTGACCACCCCCAGATGATAAAATCAGGGATGTGTGAAGTTCTGCAACTTCCAGATTTCATGCTCTGAAACATAAATTACCTTGATAATTGGAGGGAATTTTTGAGTAAAGAATTATGGTGCAAAAGGAAGCTTTACTCATATAAAGCAATCTTTTCTTCTTTCAGTGTATTAATATAATACAGTGCCTCAGTGTAAATGAATGATGTTAATTGAAATGTGTTAGAAGAACTTGATATTTTGCCTCTGAAACTTGAAATTTTTTCTTTAAGCATCTATTAAATATGATTAGAAGTTTTTAATTAAATTAAAATGTTCATTTATTAAACTTAAAACAAAACTCTAAAATAATTATTAATTTTTCAAGAGCAATAATTATACCCAAGTATCCTCTTGTCAGATAATGTGTACGTTAAATAAAGGTAATATCTGTTAATACCTTAGAGAAACGCAAGAGAATTCCTTTTAAATAGTTGTTTCAAACCCTGTTCACTGTTACAAATAAGTACAGTACAAAAAATTATTTAGGCACTATTTATTTGAATTCAAGTAGAAGCAGAAGTTCCAGGGTGAGGGGCAATGCTAGAGATTGAACCCAGGGCTTCTTGCATGCTAGGCAAGCACTGACTCACTTGAGCTGCATTCCCAGCCTCCTGGACTTCTGTTTCTGATTAAGAAATCTTATCACCTAGCTAAAATTCAGATACTTCAGCTTGAAAAGCAGAGCTGCTCACACCCTACATGTCCAGCCATGTTTCCCACTGTTTTCACCCCTGTATTCAAGCATAACTGACCTTCTGACTGTCTCCCATTTGACAGTCCCTCTGGTACTTTATGCATGCTTCTCTCATAATAAAATTGAACAGTGGATAACAATCTGTCTTTTCCTTCCCTCCCTGCCCCACAAAATGAGTTTAGGCAGGATAGAAATTTTTCACCTGAGAAAAAGTACAGTACACTTTAATTTCTCAATTCAGAAATCTTTTTTTTCTCATTGAGTATATTGCTGCATTTTAGGTATACAGTACAGTTACATTCATCTTTAGGATCTTGTACCTTTACATGACAGGTCTTGGTTCTCATTTTTTCCCTTTATCCCTGCCCTCCCTTCACCCCCTCCTCCCTTCCGTATTTACAAATACTTTATTTCCATTTTTTCATTTTCTTGTGTTTTTTTTTCTTTTCCCTTATTTCCTTTCCCCTACCCATCCCACTTCCCCTACACCATTAGCCCTTTCCTTCCTATTTCACATTGTCAATTATATCATTAGGATCTTATGTACCATTATAGTTTTTCACACCAGAGAAACTATTCGGTATTTATACATGTGTGACTTATTTATTTCACTTAGGAGTATATCCTCAATATCTATTCATTTTCCTGCTGGGCATGGTGGCGCATGCCTGTAATCCCAGCACTCAGGAGGCTGAGGCAGGAGGATTGCTGTGAGTCTGAGACCGGCCTGGGCTACATAGTGAGTTCCAGGTCAGTCTCAACTACATAGTGAGACCCTGTCTCAAAAAACAACAAAAAAAACAAAACAAAATATGTATCCGTTTTCCTATGAATGACTCTAATTTCTCACTCTTTATGGCTGAGTAGTATTCTATTTTAGAGAAAAACCACATCTTTATCCATTCTCCAACTGCTGGGCAAATGGGCTGTCTCCAAGTCAGAAATCTTTATTTTAATTCTTTCATAAAAGCTTCTGTTTGAGCTTTCTTGTATTTATAAGTAGTTTGTCTATCCGTGATTTATTTTTTTAAAAAAATCCCTGTGGAATCAAGTCTAGCTGTGACTCTAGCTATATTGATCAAATGAAAATAAAAGAAAAAAATTATCCAAAACTCCACCTAAAAAAATTAGGAGGCAATTATAGTGTTTTAAGCACATCTTCTAGTTTTCAGAAGTGCAAATGATCCATAAAGATCACCTCTCACACTTACATTAACTGCATTCTTAAAAAGATGTGAAAATCTCTCTGCATATATCACTGGTTTGTTCAATATGCTCATATTCAACACTAGAAAATGGTACTAAAGAAAGGTGCTTAAATTGAGCCCTGTGTGCCAAATACATTATGTTCTTTATTAACATTTAATTATCACAAAACCTGAGGGAGATGTAGGGATAGTACTCTTTTACTAATGAAGAAACTACTCTTCAGAGAGTCTTAAATAAGTTTCCCAGCATCCTATGGATACCAAAGGACAGGTGTGCAATTTCAACTCTGATCTCTTTGATTCTAATGTAGTCTCAGATTCTTTCTACTTTACTGTTACGTACCATTAGCCTACATCATTAACTTGTCTAAAATCTCTATGGGTTTTTCTTCCAGCTCCACGGCAACAAGAATCTTTTCAGCCAAGACATTGAAAATAATCTTCTACTGAAATAAAGAAGATTTAACAAGTTATTTCCAAATATTTGTATTTATATATTATTTTAATGTTTATCATTTACATTATGGAAATGTGGTATATAAATCATACAACCCCTTATAAAATGTGTAAGTGTAATAATGCATCACTTAAAGTAATAAGAAATTAATTTCTAACATCTGAAGTACCAAAATTGTTTCCAGGTAATTCCAAAGAGAGTTAACTGAGCAGTTAATAAGATTAAGAATAAGTGGGGCTGGGGACTTTAGCTCAGTGGTTCCACCGCCTGTCTTGTAAGCACATAGGACCCGAGTTCAATCCCCAGTACCTAAATAAATAAATAGAAGACTAAGCAGTAGTACTAAAATCTTTCACACTAGGTTTTTGTTTCTGGGTTTTTTAAATGCATGGTTTATGGTGTTAATGCCATTCTGTTGAGCTTCAAAACAACCTTCTTGAACTGGTCATCAGGCCAATAATTTCATAAATATTTACACTTTATTAAGACATTTTATAATTCTATCTCATGGTGAACTCCTTTAACTTTATGATTTTTACTTGCAAAATATTTTTAAATAGAAAAGTTGGTTCGGATGTTTTGTTTGAGTGATTTTTTTTTTTTATTACTTGGAAACAGTTTTATATAGGAATTAAAGCATTTTCAATGGCTTTCTACAATGTTTCTTTTGTATTTATATTTCATAATTTAAATTGCTCTTTTAATAATTTTTAGGAAATAATGTTTATACTTATGTAGCTAGTTTAGCTGTATTGTAGTAATTTAAATAATGCTGTAAAATACCATTTTAATGTTCTGGTGATAGGTTTTTTTCAACATTTTACAAAAGTAAAAAATTTCTTAGTGGTAATCATCTTAGGATAACAGGATATAGTGTGTAACTATGGCCTTGAGTAACGTCTCTCTTTATACATTACTTTTCTTACCTGTTTTCTTTTACAATACCAGTCCCAAAAAACCCTCAGAACTGAAGGACTCTTTTTCAACTGCTAGTCAGGATTAATATGTACGTGACAAGAGATTTGCTTTGACTAAATCTAAAGAGATAGCTAGCCAAGCTTCAATGTTTTCTTAAAGTTTTATTAGGAAACTTTATATATTATCTGGCACAGGCCTCCAGAGTATAATTTTGCTATATTTAAGGTAGAGTAACTTGTTTTTCGATTCAGAAAGACACAACTTCCAGGATAAGTATGAGCCTCTTTAGTCAAATTAACCAAATAGAATGGAATTCAGGATTCTTTAACAATACGGATGTTTAAAAGGAGAAATTCAAACACAGAACTGTAATTGAAAGATAAAGAATTTGAAAAGATGATAGAATTAAAGCAAAAGTAAAATAACATTTTTTCAGTTTTTAATCAGGACTCATAAACCAGTTATGAAAGCAGTTAATACTAACTGTTAATCAAGAAATTACTTTATCTCCGCTTTCACATGTTTGGTCGTGTAAAGATGTTACAAATTTTATTAACAATCTTTCTAAGGCTAGGGACATTATTCAGTGGTAGAACCCTTGGCCTAGCATTCATGCAATCCTAGGTTCAATCCTCCATACTACAAAAGAAATAATATTCTGTTAAACTAAAGGTTGAATATGCTAGTTAAGTACTCTTTAACACCTTTCAGATGCTGTTGATACTGTCTCTATGATGTTACTTAATTTCTTCAAAAAAAATAAATAATTTTTAAATTCTGCACCTTGACAAAATTCAAAAAAACAAGTGTTTTCCTTTTTTACCATCAAGTATGTGCTTTGATTTTAACACTAAATAAAACAAATTAAAATTCAATAAACATTATAAGAAAAAATCCTGCTTGTTTAGAAGTATCATTTTGGAACTTGAATTGTCTGAATAAACTGCATTGCTTCTAATTAAAGATTTTTTTCCTTTGTGTGTGTGTGTGTGTGTGTGTGTGTGTGTGTGTGTGTTTCTTGAAAAATGAGAAAAAGACCAGCTACAGTGGTATATACCTGTAAAATCCCAGCTACTTAGGAGGCATAAGCAGGAGGATTGCAAGTTCAAGGCCAGCCTAGGCAACAAATATACATAGTTCAGTGGGAGAGTGCTCCTCTGTTTAATCTCCAGGGCATAAGGAAGGAAAAAGGAAAATTATAAAAATATGAATTGTCCTTGGTTCACACAGTCTCTACACATAAAACAACCCACAAAGAATTGCTCTCATCAGGTAACAAAATGAACTTCCAGAGCACTACTTCCACTCTAGCTGCCTTTGCCTTACCCTGCATTCTTCCTTTCCTCACATTTTTTTTTTCTTCCTCTGGTGGTGGTTCTGGGGATTAAATTCGCGGGACATCTACCACTGAGCCACATCCACACCCTTTTTATAGGGATGTAGATGACATATTTAAATTTCAATTATGTAATATGAGACCATTTTAATTTACTTTTAACCCATATTTTGCAGGACAGTTTCATTTAGTATTCTCTCCTGGTTGTTTGTTTGTTTGTGGTTTCATACCAGAGATTGAACTAGGATCCTTGTGCTTGCAAGACAGGCAGCAGCACCACTGAGCTAAATCGCTGGCCCTCACTTTCCTGTTTCTTTAAAGTCACTTTCATGAGCATTAGAACCTTTTGAGCTCAGTTTTCTAAAGCATATTATCCTCACTTCTAAATTATATTTAAGATACATGCTTTTTAAATCTATATACATATCCCAAATTATTGATTTAGGTCATTTCCACTTAGTGTCTTTTCCAGACACTTACAGTGATGACTTAAGGTTTCAAAATAAGAATAAGGCTAAGTGGGTAGTTCTAGAAAAACAAATAATTTGACTTCTATTCAGACATATAAGGTAGTTTAAAACCATTAAATATTTTACAGGCACAGTTCATTTTCAATTCATAAATATAACAATTGTAAATTCTCAATTATCCATGCAGTTTTCAAAATAAAATTTTAAGAAAATTAAGTTGATTCCTGTAAACTCAGCATTCCATTGAGATTTTTGTGTCTAGATATATGTAATACAAGGGGAAGTGAAAAGCACATACAACTCATCTCATAAAATGATTTAACTTGATAATTAAAAACTACACTTGACAAGTTAGCAGTCTAGCATAGTGTCCTGCCGTTATAACTTGGCTCAAGTACAACTTAGCACAGGAATGGAAAAGGTTATAGGCCTATGCCACAGAGTATGTCCCTTGTTGAGGATCTCATGATATAATTCCTCTTTTGCTTTTTTCTTTTCTTCCTTCAAGGGCCTCATGCATGATAAACACAGCAAAGCAGAGCTACATCACAACTTTGATGGATTTTTGTTTTAAAAAATACTTGACATCTTACCCATTTTAAGCATATGCTTCTGTAGCACAATAAATACATTCACGTGTATAATCTCCAGAACATTTTCATCTTGCAAAAGTGGAAAGCTTGCACCATTAAACAATACCCCATTTCCTCATGCCTTTATCCCCTTAGTAACTACTGTATTCTTTTTTATCTATGAATTTAAATACTTGGAGTTAGTGGGATAATGAATATTTGTCTTTGTGTATAAGTAGATTATTTCACTGAGCATAATGTCCTCAGGGATCATCCATGTTTCATTATATGTCAACTTTTTTTGCTAATCTTGGTTTTGTTAAATGTCAATTTCTTTTTTTTCTTTTTTAGTAGGAAATTTTTATTGAGAGAAAGCTGCTGTTTAAGCAAGACAGGAGGAGTACCAGAAAGTGGGTTGCTCACTCACCCAGCTTCTCAAAGGTGTTTTATGGACAAAGCCATGAGGTGATGGAGGTTCAAGGTGGGACGAAACTATAATTAACTAGTAAGATTATAAGTACAGCCTTAGGTAATATTGATCCAATGAGAAATCACAAGGTGGACAAAACTATGAGCAACCAATAAGATTATGACAAGTATAGTTGTTTCAGTAACTGATTAGGGATCCAACAGGGAAACAAGTATCGTAGCAAGCTTATAAGGAATGAACTAGGATTTTTGGTGGAAAAGGGTGGGTCAGGGATCTTTCTTGGAAGATTCTTGTCCCCCACCCAAGTGATTGATATCTATTTAGAATATTAATCACTGTTATTTATCCTACATGGGGTGATAGTTTCCTCTCCTTTTATAATGCTGTGTCTTGTCTTGATTGTCCTCCATGTTGGCTCCTTGTGTGCTGGCCCTAACTGCCTGCAAGGTATTTAATTAACTTACCTATCTTAAATATTCCCCCCTCTGAAGAAGTACCCCTAACTGCTGTGAGGAGGCAAAGGGTTAAGACTTCTGGCTACTTACAGCTGAAGAGGGTAACAGTTTGATCAGCAGTCACTCTACAGAGGGTCAACCTGAAGGCCTTCAGTAGGGACCAGGCATCGTCATCTTGGTAGTCATGTACCTTTGAGTCTGGAGGAGATACAGCCCAAGAATCAGTTAAGAATACATGGGCTAAATTATAAGGTCAGCAGGATTGCTATGAATAAAGCCATCAAGCATTTCCACAGGGAAATGGGAGGAACTAGTAGCCTCCCACAAAGAGGATAAGGAGAAGGTCCAGGGGGCATCAGAATCCAACATAGAAGTCATATTGATTGTGTAATTTAGCAGTTATGAGCTATTTGTAAGGTCAGTCTGATGGATCTTGGTAAAAGAAGTCTAGCATGGGCCAAGGATTTGTCTCTGGTTCCGCCACCTGCCTCGCAAGTAAGTACCAGGACCTAAATTCGATCCCTGGTACCACCAAAAAAAAAAAAAAAAGTCTAGCATATTTATCATTGGTTCCATTTGTATGACTGATTGGAGTTTGGCAGCCTCTAGGCAAGAATAAACAAAACTTTTAAGAAATTAGAGCATGTGTAATCTAAGCATGAGCACACTAGAGTGGAAGGGCAGGCTGGGCAGAAAGTGTGACTGCTTTTTGCCTCTTGAAAGAATGAAAGTGTTTTAACTATATTGTTTAGGACTTAGCCTTTAATGAATAGCTCTGAATCTATAATATCTAATTTATGATTTAAATACCCTACAGGCTGTTGAGCAGGGCCCTGATCTTGTAGAAACACTCTCAAAGCCATGTCTCACTAATTATTAACATACAAACTAAGATAGTGTCCTATAGATAGGCACTTAGATGTTCTTGTTTGAGTTTCTGGAATACAGTATGGGAATAAGGTTCTCAAGTCAAAGTATGAGTGTCTGCCTCTTGAGTTTCTCTGTAAGTTAATAGAGGGGTCACAATCTCACTATATCCTGCTATTTAAAGGCGACAAAAGTTTGTAATTTCTAGGAATCTCCTTAGTTGTTTTAGTCTTGTCATATCTGTCTGTTAGAAAATTTAGCAGAACATGGGTGTCCTGGCTAGGAAGCGCTTCTAATGGAACACATAGCAATATACCAGCTACATATTGCAAGACTATGACTTGGGGAAAACTATAGTATTTTATCAAATCAGGATCCAGATATGTCCTCATCTTCATCCTGATAAATAGTTGACAATTTAAAATAACTGAAGGG